CCCCAAAACCCCAAAACCCCATCATCTAATTATTATTTTCAATAAAAGAATCGATAAAATAATCCTTTAATGCAAGATTTCATAATAATTTTAATAATAAGCCAAAAATCAAGAAAAATCTAAGGATGGCACTAATCCAAGCAAAAGTGAAAGCAGTTCTAATTAACAACAAAATTTTCTACAGGATAAGCAGCAAGAAATCCTTATTTTAAGCCTAGTTTTCTTTAAGATGATGATGATAATTTGTCAAAGCCAGACGAAAAATAACTAGGATGATGATTTCTTACCAGAATATTTAGTCAAAGACGCTCCATCTTACAAAAGAAATCCAGTTTCCATTAACCTTCCTTGGCTAATTAATGGTGCTCCTAACATTGATCTGAAGACCAGATTCATGGGAGAACAGATCCTCTCAAGACTTAAGGTTCATAAAAATGAGATACTCGAACATCTATTCAAAATATTTAGAGCAGTTTTACTTTCATCGCAGGATAGAGACTTTGACTTTTTAGAATAGTATTGTGAGGAGGTATTCTACACAAAACTTAGAAATATACTGAATGAAGTGATATAGAGCAATTTTGAGATGATAGTTGAAGAAGATATGTTTGCTGATAGAGACAAGCCCATCTAAGTTGAAGCCAATATCTACGATCATACTTTAATCAAGAAATTATCATCAATTAGAAAGGAAATAGCTCCGAAAGTGACTATCTAAACTATAATGATATTGAAAATATGGACTATATCTCCTAAGTGCCATAGTACAATCATACTTAGATGTTTGCGATATATCACTGACCCAAAAAACTTCGCTGACCCAAAGGTGAATAAAGAGATTCATAAAGATGCTCATAGAGTTATATTCAGAGCTTATGTTGAATTCAAGACAGGCTACAAGATTTATCTGAAAGATAAATATGGAAAGAATCTATTCGAGTACCCTTAGAATTTAGATTATACCTGGCAGCATGTTGGTGTCTTTGAGACTCTCATGGAACCTCCTATTAGATTTAACAAATGGTCACAAAGTGAGAATGTAATGGAATGGATTCAAAAACATACATTTGCCACCTGGAAAATGGTTGATCTTGATAACTGGTTGGTAGGAAATCCTTTGGTTATACCCAAATTCGATGTTAAGCAAAAGATGGTAACTCAATAGCAAGCTCAAGGTCTTTGAAGAACTGTGGAAAGTTAAACGAAATTAATGCATTAAAGTAGTTGTTGACAAATCAGAATTATTTAAATTAAACTTAATTTCTCTTCAATTATAATAAACTCATTCATTGAGATAAACTTCAAACAATTTATTCTCATTCAAACTTGGGAATCATTAGTTTTATTTGTTTAATTGTTCTTGGGTGCCGGGTCCCATGAGTGGAGTGCCTCTTTCTTGTTCAAGCATTACTGACTCTAAGTTCACTTATTTGTGTCTTATATTCGTCTCCTCCTGCTCTCTTATATTATCCTTTTGCTTAGCTTGAGATTCAGACTCCGAAAGTCCTTAAAAAGCTGGGGAGTTGATCTGCTTTTGGTTCCAGATTTTCTGTTGGTTTAAATTACTCTGCGTAAACATTTAAATAATATATACTGCTCGAGAATCATTAATATACTAATAAAGAATTAAATTGCTAATTATTTATAAACTTGTCACTTTGGGGTTTTGGGGTTTTGGGGTTTTGGGGTTTTGGGG